ACTGGACAGCTGGATCTCTGCTGTACTGAACCACTGAGACACGGTCTGTGTTATTATCCACACTGAGTCTCTCTACTACTCTTTGGACAAAGTCCTGCATTGCTGGGAATCCAGTTCTAGTACCATCAGATCCATCCAACAAGAACACAACATCCCTTCCTTTTGGCTGTCTCTTCACTGGGGAAAATATAATTTGAGACATATTTAGATCAATGTGTCATATATCTTCCATGCAAAAGTCAGATGATGAACGCTAACATCCAGTTTTGTAATATTTACTCTATTAATGCTGCCACAACTATTTTGTCAAAGCGGCACTTCCTGACCTTAACTTAGTGAAATACACTTTGATACGGTTCAATTAAGTCTTTCCGTGATAAATAATGAAGAGCAACTGTTTCTTTTTTTTTCATGTTCATAATTTTATTTTAGAAATAAATAGCCTGGTCTTACTTGCAGTGCATCAAATACCTACACTCGGGCACTGGCAGTGTCTTTGTTACAGATGCACACGGCACCTTTTAGTTACTGTATGAGACGCACTAGGCTTTTAACTACTTTCAATGTCAACCCTTCGGCATTCCTATTAGATGCTCATAGCAACTGACAATTATTTAGTGAAAGAAGTATTTTATGCAAGGGCAGTAGGGGCGGTTAATTGGTCAAACAAACACAATCTTTTAATCAGGATTTATTTACATGTCCCAAGTGAAACCAAAAGTTGACTGGTTTTTACTGAAGATATGTCACGTGATGCTGTGCTATTGAGTCACATGATGTTGCATCCGTATCTCATGTTACGCTTCAACCATACTCATTTCAAGCCGAACCATGATATTTTTTCTAAGCCTTACTCAGTGGTTTTGTTGCCGTAACCTAACTACAACTGTTTGACAAGGTTAACCATGTGTAACAATGTTAACACCGAATGTTTATTCATGTTAACCACGCGCAAACCATCAACTTCAGAATACTACAGAAAAGGCTTGGCTTTTGCCCATGTGGCAAAATGTGATGAGTAGAAATGTGATCACGTTGAAATAAAGTTAGAAATTATTATTTTGACCCATCAAAAGTAACCAATTCATAGGTGAATACCAAAGTGGCTCTGACTGTTGACATCCAGCACTTCTAGCTTCAGCTCTGTCTATCACCAGTGTTCCTGCAGTAGGTAGGCTGTCCGCAGTAGTCCACAGCAGCCTACGCCTCTTTCATTTTCTCAGCAGCTTCAACTTTATATTATTATTTTTATTATATTATATATTATTATTAAAAATAATTGTCGGCGTTATAGCAACTAAATTTTGCTTTAGTAGCATTGCTGTTCAACTGTTGAGGAATATTTGACTCGTCTGTTGTTTTTAGACTTTTGTGTATTGTAGTGGCACATGAAATACTGCCTCAGGTAAGGAGAAATGTTTTCTCTGAGATATAGACATAGATATTAGAGTCACGAAAAAGTTGTATCCACACTCTTAATATCTATGAAAAAATAGAGCATTCAGATAAGCTTGTAGAGCATACAGATGTGATCACCTAATTAGTTCAGATTATTCACACAAACAGTTTTTTTTACAGTTTTCCATTACAAAAACAGCTGTGTGTTTAATTAGGTTTGACAAAGGATAGTAGAACGAAATGCTCAATTTTCAGAAAATCGTTTGGCAGCATTGGTCTCTGTATGGATATTGATGCTTCTGGTCCTTCTGTTAATGTGGACAAGTGAACTGAGATCACAGTAAGAATGGCAAATTGAACACGTATTAGAAAAAGCTGTGCACTTGTGTATGTACTGAATCATGCACAAAGTAAATACACATAATGTGTATGATGTTAATTACAATCATTATATGCTAACACCTAAAGGTGACTAATTTAAATACTTATTTATATCATCTAAATTCTTACCTGCTTTAATTTCCTCAACCCCCATTTGAGAAAGATGATTAATCAAACTTTGTTGAATATGAGTAAGATTTACAAAGTCAGGGACGGAGTAAGCATAATTTGGGTCAGAGGACATGACTTGCATCTCAGCTAGATTAGATCCAATTGCAAATGTGTCAACCCCTGCAGCCTTAAGCATACTTGCTGGGCCACGTGGCGAATCTCTAGATCTTCCACCAGCCAATATGACAAGTATCTGCTTGGCATCATCCTGTTGTTGACCTCCAGCATTTGAAACAAAGACATTATCCCTCACAAATTTCAGTGCTGCTCCAATATACCGAGTTTTTCCACCTTTTGGTTTTAAGCTTGTGATGTGCTTAAGAACATCAACTTTTGTATCGTAAGTGTTTAGATTGAAATTGAGTTCAACATTGTTGCTGTACTGTACAACAGCGATTTTATCTTTCCCTTGGTTCAGGTCAAAGCTGTTCACAATTTTTGCAACAAATTTCCGTATAGCAGGGAATCTGCTCCTGACATGATCAGATCCATCAATTACAAAGACAATATCTCGATCCATACTGGAGCTTGAACCTAGAAATGTTCACAATCAAGCAAATTTGTGTTGGTTAACAATTCAAATGAAATCTGATTACTGTTGATGTAACTGATAAGTAAGTACGATTTTCACTCACCTACACCAGTGCTGACAGTGCCTTTGTAAGATACAATGTCTGAGAGCAGTCGTTCGCTCACAAGAGGAAAGTCAGAAATCTCCTTGATAAAATACTCTGCTTTAGGACTGTGGGCTAATTGTTTCATCTCCAGCCTCTCAGCATCATTCACTCCAACACTGAAAAGGACAATTCCAACATTTCTCAGTTTGTCCACAGGACCTAAAACATCATCTTCTGACTTTCTTCCACTCAAATGAATGAGTATCTGTGGGACTCCCTGCTGAGCTCTGCTTCCAGATGAAGCAGTGAACACATTGTTCTTCACATAACCAAGGGCAACACCTGTGTTCACGGTGGACCCTCCTTTCAGTTTTACATTGCTCAAATGACTCAAGACATCGTCTTTCAGTGAGTGCGTTTTCAAGAGAAAATCAGTAGTGGGCTCTGTGCTGTACTGAATCAATGCAACTTGCACTTTGCTTGGCCCAATTTCCATTTGCTTGACAAGCTCTATGACAAAATCCAAAATGTGTCTTTCACTTGCTCGCATGTCATCAGATCCATCAATTAGAAAAACAACATCGGCGCTCTGGAGTATTATTTTTCCAATAGTGTCTGAAATTAATACAAACAAACAGTTTACAAAACCAACATCTTTGCTGTAGACAGAAACATCTGATTTACACACCTGGTATACAATCATACAACTTCTAAGTCCATGTAGAAAACATGTCTAAAATGCTACTTATTTTTTGATGTCTTACCAATAACAGTTGGAAATTCAGTTGTGTCTTCAGTACCCCTCAATGTGGCCTCCACAGATGGATGTATGCTTTGCAGATTGTTAAATTCTATGACATGAAAATAATGTGCAGGCGTGAAAGAGATGGTTTGCATTTCCAAAGTATCAGCATTCTGTGTTCCAATAGTAAAAGTCTTTATCCCATTTTCTTTGAGAGACTGTGCTGGTCCTCTGACATCATCCCCGGATCTCCCACCACTAAATACATACAGATATTGAGGGACTGAGTCTGCATTTCTACCTCCAACTGAAGCAGCAAAGACATTGTGTCTGACAAACTCAAGGGCTTTGCCAATGTTGAGGGGTCTCCCCGATTTATGCCTTATTGTTCCAATGGAATTGAGCACATCGCTCTTGGATGAATAGGAATTCAGGTAGAAATTGACTGTGGCGACACGGTTGTATTGAACAACAGCCACTTGGTCTCTGTTCTCGTCTATGTTTAAACTTTCTACCATTTGTTTAACAAAGCCTCGTATCTCTTCAAAGCCGTTTCGTGAGTCATGTGATCCATCAATAAGAAATACTACATCATGTTTCTCAGTATCTGCAAGAAAGACAAAGATGTAGAAAAAAGTCCATGTGATTTTTTGCAGGTAACAGGTAAGCAACTAGAGTGACATTCCCCCATGATCATAGACAATATATCATCAGATTGAATTATTGCCCAGCCCTACCACTACAACAGAGCAGCAGAGCTCTTTGCTTAACATAATCAGATGTAACTGTCAAAACAGCATAAAGGAAAGCCTACAATAGTTATTATGAGCAAAAGGACACTAGTCTGTTACCGTCCATCATTCACCCTCAGTTAGAATGAATGCCTTGAGGTCTATGTTGTGCACATGGTGTATAACATGAATTCATTACAGTCATTAGTCTTACCATTTATTACTGCTTTGATAGAAGTGGTTACACCCTTCTTAATGACAGAAAATACATGTTGTTCAATGTCTGACAGATCACTGGATTCTGCTGCAAAGAAAGCATGACTGGCTTCCTGTGAAATAGACTGAATCTCAAGGGTATCGGCATTCTTTGTTCCCACCACATATAACATCACACCAATTCCTCTCAAGTTCTCCACGGCATGTCTGACATCATCATTTGACCGTCCGCCAGTTAAGAGAACCAAAATCTGAGGGACGCCCTGGTGGTGCCTACTTCCAGAAGAGGCATTGAAAACATTATCCTTGACGTACTGAAGGGCTGCACCGGTATTGAGGGTTCTGCCTCCTTTATGCTTCAGAATTCGCACATTGTCAGCAACCTTCTGCTGTGTTTTGTACGTGTTCAGAAAAAATTCAACAGAGGGTTGTCTGCTGTACTGCACCACTGAAACACGATCTTTGTTCTCCTCCACATTGAATTTGTCCACCATTCTCCCAACAAAGCCAAGGATTGCCTTAAAAAAGATTTGCATTTCGTCCGAGGAATCCAGTAAAAATACAATATCATGTTGAATGGATTCAGTTTGATCTACAGAAACTGTCAGACACAAGGATAATGCTTAGTTAGTTACACATAAATGTATCCATAATGAAAAAAAAAGATAGATAGATGGATAGATAGACAGCTGGACAGATGGACAGATAGATAGTCTTACCTAATACATTGTGTGGTTTTAGTCTTGGCTGCTGTCGAGGCACCCTTTTTACAAATGACACAAGTTGTTGATGGATGCTCTCAATATCATCAAACCGAAGCACAGAGAACGCATAGGAAGGATTATGTGCAATCATTTGAAGCTCAAGTATGTCTGCATTTCTTGTTCCTACACAGAATGGAACAACTTTGTCCTGTTTTAGAGCCGCAATGGCACTTGCAACATCATCTTGAGATCTTCCCCCATTCAGCAGAATCAATATCTGAGGGACACCGTCTTGATGTCGACTCCCAGAGTTTTCAGCGAAAGCATTTTTCCTCACATAGTCAAGAGCTGCCCCAGTGTTGAGGGGTCTGCCTCCTTTATGGTTCAACTGTTGGACAGCAGCTAGAACATTTTGTTTTTCTTTGTAGGTGTTCAAACTGAAATGTGTCTGTTGTTCTCTGCTATACTGGACCACAGAGACACGGTCTTTGTTCTCACCAACACTGAGGCTTTCTACCACTCTTTGGACAAAATGTTTCATTGCTTGGAAGCCACTCCGTGTGTCATCAGACCCATCCAATAGAAACACTATGTCTCTTTGAGGGGACTCTAATTCAACTAGAAAATAATAGAAAAACCTTTTTTAAGAATCACAGATATAGTACATAAGCTAGGTGCAATCATTACACAATAGATGGGTGGTAAAGCCATAAGAGCTGGTAATCGGAATTGGAAATAATTACTGCGATAACCAAGGTGTTAGATGCAAGATCATTTCAGAAAACAGTCATTATTAAGAAACTTAGAAATAACTGCAAGATTCAAAAATGAAAGATGGAGATAGCTGAAAAACATATTTCAATATTCTTCAACTCTTTATATTTGGTCAATGATGCGATTATCATTGGCTCAAGGAAGAGCTTAGGAACAGAAAGAAAGGGCATATGCTGATGCAAGGCTGTCAAGACAAGACTCTCCAGGGTACAAGAAGGAAGGAAAAAAATGTGAGCCAATGAGACAGTTTGAGAAACATGAAACTGTTTGACTGATATTCTTCAGAAGGTGTTTCATTGCAATTCAAACTATGAAAGACGAAAGCGGGGAGTCAGTTTGATTCTCAAATACTAATCTGTACTTCTTACCTACAACAGTGGGAGGCTCAATTTGTATTTTAGCCTGGAGAAATGCAGCTATCTCTGTCTGAATGGACAAAAGTTCACCAAAGACAGGAAAGTTGAAAAGAAATCTTGGGGAGACAGCAATTTTTTCAAGCTCCTCCTGTGTAGCATTTTTCATTCCAACGGCGAAAGACAGAATACCAATTTGTTTTAGGGCTAATGCCGCCCCTGAAACATTGTCATTGGATATGCCACCAGTCAGTAAAAACAGAATCTGAGGGACTCCCTCCAAGCGTCTACTCCCAGATGAAGCTGTGAAAATACGGTCTTGTACAAACTGGAGTGCAGCTCCAGTGTTCCGAGGTCTTCCTCCTTTATGGCGCAGATTTCTTACAGCATAGATGATAGCCTTTTTGGATCTGTGAGTTTTTAGGTTGAAGTATACTGTGGTGTCATCACTATACTGTACTACGGCCACTCGAACCTTATCTTCGCCAATGTCGAGCTCTTCCGCCATTCTTCTGATGAACTCACGTATAGCTGGTAGTCCATTTCTGGAGTCATCCGAACCATCAAGCAGAAACACTATGTCCCTCTTTTTACTTGCTGTGGCAACAAGGTGATACATGAATAGACAGAAAAAGTGTTCAAGACTTTTCTACACCCATGCGTATTATCAGCATGAGCAAGTTAGAAGTGTAGAAATAAACTCGGTATGGAAAGAAAGATAAGCCACTTCTCTGAAAGGGTTATTTCAAGCAGAACTGCTAAAGAACCATATTTTTATCAGAAAGATGTATGAAAGAATTTGCTGACTCCAAAGTAACATTGATGTGGACGATTTGAAAGAGGTATAAAAGAGGGATAGATTCTTAAAAGCTTAAGGGTTACAGAACAGTTGCTTTTTCAAACAAAACACATATTGGAGCAAGGGGCATCATAAATGTATGTGCAACAGGAATGGGCCAAAACATTGTATTATCGTCAATCATTAGACTAAAAACCTTATGTTAAATATTCTTGAGTGAAAGAATTTTAAAGAGACATGACAGAATGTTATTCAGAAGATAAAAATGAATACTTTACTCCAATTTTAAGGATATAAATGTGGAATTCTTACCTACTAAATCAGAGATTCCAGTCATGGTTTCCCCTGTTTCTTTGTTTATGTTCAGTGTAACAACAAGTTGTGATTGGATTGAGGGCAACTTGGAGAAATCAGTGACCTTGTATGTGAAACCAGGTTTGTAGGCAATCATTTCCAACTGCTTTGTATTGGCTTCTCCCACTCCAATCCCCACTGACACAATTCCATGCTCTTTAAGAGCAAAGGCTGGGCTTCTCACATTATCGGTGGATGGTTTACTACTGATGAGAATTAAAATCTGGGGCACACCTTCTAGTCTTCTACTGCCCGTTGAGGAAGTGAAGACACTGTGCCTCACAAACTGGAGAGCTCTCCCGATATTATGGTGCCTCCCACCCTTGTGCCGTAAATTATCTATGGCATTTATGGTGTCATTCTTTGTCTTGTGAGCATTCAGATAAAAGTTGATCTCAGGATTATCAGCAAACTGAACCACAGACACTCTGTCTTGGCTCTTACTGACAGAGAGGCTCTCAACTATGCTCTGAACAAATAGTTTTAACTCTGGGAATCCATTTCTTGTGTTATCTGAGCCATCCAGTAGGAACACAATATCTCTTTTTGCAGCATTGCTTTGTGCTAAGACACAACAAATGAGAGTCAGTTATTCTGATAAACAAAAACGTGTTTTTTTTTCATATAGCAAGTTTAACACACCAATAGGAAAAGAGATTTAGCTTACCTTGTTGTAGAACTTGGGTCAGCTCTTCCCTTGGAAGTCCCACATAGTTATTGAGCCTTTGTGGTATGCTGCTAAGCTCACTGAATTCCTTCACATTAAAGGCAAAGGAAGGGTTGTGTGAAATGGCCTCAATCTGCTTTGGGTCTGCATCCTTAACACCAACACCAAATGGTACGACTCCCTGTGTTTTCAGCGCACCAGCAGAATCCTTCACGTTATCCTTGGACCTGCCTCCAGCCAAAACGATTAGAAACTGAGGGACATTTCGCGCAGACCGGCTACCATGCCTTTCGGACAAGATGGTGTCCTTCATGAATCTTAGAGCAGCTCCTGTGTTTAGGCTACGTCCACCAGCCAGTGTCATTCCGTTGACAGCTCTTATTACATCATCTTTGGTTTGATAAGTGTCAAGGTAGAAAGTTGGAGTTGGCCTCTCGCTGTGTTGAACCACTGAAACTCGCACCCTGTCAGTTCCAATGTCAAGTGGTTCAATGACTTTAATGATAAAATCCCGGATGTAGGCAAAATCTGCTTGAACATTTTCTGTGCCATCAATGAGAAAGGCAACATCCCTTTCAGCTCCAGCAACAACTGAGGGAAAACAACAACAACAATTTTAGTTTTAGGGATACCATTATTTGCATCACATTTATTTCATTGACAGAAACAGAAAGATGTAAAACTCACCAGTTTCCTCTAGGATTGTTGTCACATCTGTATCGCCAACTACTGTTATCAACTTTGGCATGATTAGTTCTGCCATAGCTGGCAAACTAGAGAAGCTTGTTTCATGGTAAGCCAAATCTGGAACAAAGGCAACTGTTTTCATAAGGGCTTCATCTGCTTGTCCAGAAGTGACGGTGAAAGTCAAAACTCCAGACAGAGCCAATTTATCGGCTACCGATTTAACTTGGTCCTGGGCTGGACCACCTGTAATCAGAACTAACACTTGCTGAACTCCCTGCCTCCTGCGTGAGCCAGTTGATGCCTTGAACATGTTGACAAGGGCATAGTCCAATGCAGCTCCTGTATTCAAAACTGAGCCTCCAGTCAGCCTGAGTTGAGAGATTTTGTTCACAACATCTTGCCTGCTGCTGTAGCTGTTTAGGTAAAATTCAATTTTTTGACGATCAGCAAACTGCAGGAGACCAATCTGAACCCTTTCAGGACGTACATCCAGCTGGTTGACCACGTTGATCATGAAGTCTCGCACATAGGGCAAGTTACTGCTGCCAATGTAGTTTGAGCCATCCACAAGGAAGACAATGTCTCGGACCACTTTTTGAGTCTGCACTGTAGTTATCTCCATCACTAGGGAAAAGCACAAAAAGAAAACCAATTTTACAAATTATACTGTGTCATACTACATACATATACTTTCAGGCTCTGAAAGACTCACTTTATTAGACACACATTAAAAGGTCAAATGATGTCCATGGAAATTGTTATCTGTATAGGCTGCGAAGTTGATTCTTTGTTTTGAGCACTTGCGGACAAGTACCCGCTACTGCAGGCTAAAAGTTGGGGAAGAGGTCATGTGACCAAAGTCGTGCTGTCCAATTCTACAGTTAACCTCATGCTCAGTTAAAATATATTGCCTCTGTCATAACTTTCAAAACTTGCAATACTGTCTCTTACTCGTATTCTGTATGCAGTGTTTTGGCACCTACAAAACCAAGCTTTCAAAACGTACTAGTACTTAAACTGGACTTTCTTGATTATATTTATTGTCTCATGTTTCATGGGACACAATTATTCCAAAATACTTCCTTTTTTGGTGGTTTGCTGATAGTTTTAGAAAGCGCTGTCCAACATATCGGTCCAAACGTTTCCATGGGTTCAGTTGGGAATGTCACACAACAAAGAGCATGTAGGATTTAATGGCTTAATTTGATCATGCAGCACACTTGTTCGGAAGCATCTCCATTAGTTGTTTTTCCATTTATTTATTCAAGGTTTTCCTTAATATGTCACTTTAGTTATTTCATTCATTAAATTATTATTACAAACGTTATTACAATGAATTGAATGTACATAGAAGACAAAGCATTACCTGGCTCAGTGGGTACCTCAGTCACCACCACCCCAGCTAAAGTGGAGAGAGCATTAACGATTGCCTTTGGGTTGCGAACCAGTGAGCGGAAGTCCCTCATATGGAATACAAAGCTGTCCGCAAAGGCAATCTTTCGCAGCTCCTGCTCGTCAGCCGATTTGGAGCCTGCAGCTAGAGTCAATACACCCAGTCGCTGCAGGGCCATAGCAGGTGCCTCCACACTGTCACTGGACGTTTTGCTGGTCATCAACAGTAAAACCTGGGGTACCCCCTGTTGAATACGACTTCCCTTCTCAGACCGCAGCATATTCGTCCGCACAAAGTCCAAGGCTGCTCCAATGTTGATTGTCTGGCCAGACCTTGGTTTGATAGAGCCCAGAGCAGCAGTTAATTCCTCCCTGGATCCATGGGAGTTGAGATCCATCTCAAGTCGAGGGATATTGCTGAACTGGACCACACCCACTTGTACTTGGTCTGGGCCAATTGGCATGATGTCGACAAACCGTCTGATGAATTCGCGCACAGAGTTGATGATCGTTGCACCCATTGTACTGTCAATTAGGAAGATGATGTCTCGTTGTCCCACAGCCACAACTGAAAAGTTTTAAAAAAGCATTAATATGCGAATAAAAGCTAAATTTAAGTGATGTTATGATGATAAATCTGTAAGTACTAAAGGCTGCCAAAGTCCACCAATGATATTCTATGATTAGATATAAATTTTAACTAATATTGGCACTTTTTTAAAATTGGTATTGACAGCTGCATATGGACAATATATATGGTATAGATTAAGCTGAGAGTATCAATGATGATGCTCAATAACATTAATGATTAATCAACAAAATGTGAAATGAAAATACATAGCCTGTAAGTCACGTTGGCTCTTTATGAACTGCCGTTTCTATTGCTGATAGCTGATTTGTACGTAGTGGTCTTTCAAACAGTTTGTAAAATATAATTTAATGCCATCATTGCTAATATAGGTGGGCCACGTACTTCTGAGTATTGCTATATTTGTTGGAACTTTCTTTTTCTCAAAGTTTGACTACAATAAAAACAGTATTCAAAGTAAAGTGCATGCATTTTGCATTATTTACATGAATGGAAGAATGTTTACCTACAAAGCAATGGAAGCTCTATCAAGGGCATGTGTGATATGATATGAGCAAAACCCATTCTAAAATTCTATGCCGCTTTTCAGAACATTGACTTGGGTCTCTTTGCAACGGATTAAAGGTTTTCACTTTGTGGATTTATATATTGTATTGTATTGTATGTATCAGAACACTTAAGAGTTAATATTTCTCACTTTGTATGTATCATTACCACATCTGTTAAAAGTCCTTAATATGACTGAGAATATAGCAATTTCAAGTTTAGCATATCTTACCTTGCACACTACATTCAATATGAGCTCTTTAGAGCTTTTGATTTCCCACAATGCCTTGCCAACTTGTACAGAGAAGTTACATACCTTCTGTGAACTCGTTATGAACTATAATGGTGCGCTGGACCACCCCGTTAATGTATGGGAGCAGCTGGTCACCCATGCTCGCCACTGCTCTGAAATCAGGGGTCGACAGGACAAAACTTTTATCTGTAGCAACTGCTTCCAGATCAGCAGTGGCAGTGTCACCAATCGTTATGCCGAATGTGATAACACTGGCCCTCTTAAGGGCCCGGTCACCGGCACCAGTATCATCAGTGGATGGCCCAGCACTGACAACCACCAAGATCTGGGGCACACCCTCGTCTGCCCTGCCCCCAGCTGTTTGGCTCAACAGGCTCTTTGCCACTTCCTCCAAGGCGAGCCCCAGGTTAGACTCGTCACCCCCTGAGTAGGCAAGGCCCTTCACCGCTTCCAGGACTGATGACTTGCTGTCATAGCTATTTAGATAGAACTTTATCTGCGGGTTGCCGTTGTACAGAGCCAAGGCCACCCGAACAGTGTCCCTGCCCACATCAAGGCGCTCAATGATTCTCAAAGCCAAATCGTGCACAAAGGGGAAGTTTGCTGCTCCAACGTTCTGTGATCCATCAATTAAGAGTACTAGGTCAGCTGATTCTTGTGCTTTAAGGAGAGAGAGAGAAAACAAAACAAAATGGAACTTGTGAAAGCGTTAACATGGTGAGATAGAAACAAAGAATCCACTCAAAGAACTTGTGCTTGCATATCATTGCATGTGTCAAGTTACATTGAAAGTGAACAAATGAATCAAACATTACAAAACACATCATGCTGCATGTAGGCTGAACCAAGGAGATTTCATAAAAGTCATGTAATTTGTTCATTATTTTTCCATAAATTTAGCTTAGCACTCTTTACTCAAGATCGTTGTAATATTTAGTGTGATTTCTCTCCTAGTAACATAACATAAGGAAACATAAGGGTGATTGTCAATATGAATGATAATAGTCAGTATTAATACTAATCATTTATATAAGATTCATGTCGTCGATTCTCCCCATATTGTATAGTCAACAATAACAGCATATTTAGGCCAGAAAATTCTAAATTCCATGAAAACTATTGTTTTCAAACATCAGGGACGGTTTAGAAAAACAATTTGGCATCATTTTGATTTTTACAGAAAACTAATTCTGGGAAATATACATTATTTTTTATGTGGCTGAGTGACCTGATCTGAAACGTGAACATATTTTGTAGAAACGAATGTAACATTTTGAGTGGGGAAGAGGGGAGAAGTTGGAAAATATTTAAAATGTGTAAAAACGAATTGTTTAATTGTTATAATCAATATAATTAAAAGCAACCACAAGTGGTCAGGTAATTAGGAATTGTCAGAATAAAATGAATTTAAAACCAAGGGTACTCCATCATGAGACCACACTATTACAACAACTGCAAGTCAAAAAGAAAAACAATGGTTAAAAAAACATTAAGCTGTTTTATCTTTGTTAAAGTAGTCTCATGTGTCCCTTGTATAAGCTCCATTGGTTCAGCCATCCCATGCAGACTCTTGTTACGGACCTCAGATAAAGTGACCAGTCATGGCCCTGTGGCATATCCTTGGGGCCTAGCTTACAGTACTTGACAATGTTTTACATGTGATTCAATGTAAAATGAGTACAAATTTGTATATTTGTGATGTTTACAATTCATTTCAATTTGAATATTGTATGCTGGCAAAGGTAATGTTGTCTTTGGATATTTGACATTTTATGTATTTAGTTTCATAGGAATGTGTTCTCTCTTTCCAGTCACTTCTAGTAACTTATTTTAACTTATTATATATAATTTCTGTACATCAACATGTAAAAATATTCTCAAAGTACTGCTGCAGGTCAAGGATGAGTCCAAGCAGGTTCATCTCTGTTTCAAATACAGAATATTGCACATATTTAACACAGATGGACATTGTGACTGACAAAAACAAATGCAAGACACAAAAGCAGTGGTGCATGGTTAGCTATTGTTAAAAGCTCATTGACTGATCTTGAGATGTGATGTTTTAAAGGTAAGGTTTCCTCAAGTCTTTTTTCTTCTCCAAGGATTTTCTGAACAAATTTTAGTCTGAGGTGTCAACATTTGGATTTTACAATGTTATTATGTTGCAGTCTGTATTGTGTCATCACAAACAGAAAATGGTGTCTTAAATGATTACTGAGGTTATTGCTGTTTGCAAACACAGAACTCAAATCCCTACCAGTTGAAAATGCGCCTGGGACAGAATGTTCTCGTCATTTCAATAGCTTTCCCTCTATCCATACTCATTGTTTTTCTTCTGGCTTTGCACCCAATCTAAGATGCTGTAGGGATGTCTATTACATGCAGATCTTACTGTGATGTTTAAAGCGTTATGGGAGTATTAAGTGGGGTAAGACAAAACAAGTGATGTTAATTTTGCAGGTGGATAGTGAAAGGTTATTGTGGTTAAAATAAATACTTGATTGTGTTAATGATCAAATCCAGTCACGGCCACAAAGGCAGCAGCTTTGACTGCACATGTAGACATTAGTAATGGTAGTGACACTGGTCCCATTTCATTACCTGTCCCTCCTCCAGCCACGGGGGCCTCGTTTGCCACAGGACCACCCCCTGACCGGGTCACTGCGTCACAAAGCCCCACTACTAAATCTTGGATTATATCCCTCAAAGTCAGGAAAGTGTCTACACTGAATACATGAATGTCATGGGGCTTGCTAGCCATCTCCCTGAGCTCCGAGTCAACCGCATCCTGAACTCCGACCGCAAACACCTCCACGCCTGCCAGCCACAGCACCTGAGCCGGCTCGGCCACGTCATCCTGGGAGCGCCCATCCGTTAGCACCACCACCGCCTGGGCCACACCTTCAACAGCGCGGCTGCCCGAAGCAGTGGTCAAGTGTGTACGAATCAGGAAATCCAGGCCCAGGCCAGTCCGGGTGCCTCCGCCACGGTACGGCATAGCCTTGATGTGTGCCAGGACTCCCTGTGTTGTTGGGTAGCTGTTCAGCTGGAACTCAGTTCGAGGCTTGTTACTGTACTGCACGAGGGCAAATTTAAACCTGTCCCCTCCAGCCTGGTGAAGTGATTGTATCAAGCTATACAGAAATTGTCTGACATGTTCAAAGTTCTCCTTGCCCATACTCCAAGATGAATCCACTAGAAAGTATATATCAGCTTCCAACCCTTGTGCACAATCTTTGAAAGAGAGTTTTTGGAGGACAAAAGTGAAGACCAGGGAAGAGATGCTTGATGTTTAATACCAAAATATTGTATTGGTGCTTAACACTGACTGTTGCACAATGCAACTAAAATGTTTAGGTGATTCTAAGTTTGACAGCATCATTCTACTCGCTTTATTGAAAGCATCTGACTGGACTTAGTACTCTAACACTCCTGAGGCCTCTATTCCATTTTTTTTTGTCCACTGTTGTGCACATTTTTTAATTCAGATTCAAAGAAATAATAATAATTTATAATTGAAGAATGGCCAGTTTACCAACAATGCTCACAAGAGGTGAAATATCGCTCCATGAATGTTTTGTTTTTCTTAGGATGTCATATACACTTTTATAAATCCAACTTTTCTTTGCAATATATGAAAAGGTGCATCTGTAGACTATATCACACTGTGCATTTGCTGAAAACTGGAAAAGAACATTACTGTGCAAGCAGAACGATCATCTGCATAATTGGCACACCCTGCTGACCGCGGCTGAGATGAACTAAGTTCGACTTACCTTCCTGAGCCTCAAGGTTAGGGAGGAGCCCTGCAAACAGGACGCCCAGGAGGGCACATAGCGGTAACAACCGATGCCTCCTCATCTTCTCTCACCAAAACAGCCAAGGGGACACCTGTGAAACCAGAAGCAAATATCACATGAATATAAGCCAGCAGCCCACGAACATGCCAATACATGCCAAACACGCTTAAGTACAAACTACAGGTTTCAGTGTTTTGGATGTCCTTTTGAATGGTTTGGTGAAAACGTTTGGGAGAGGGATTTGAAATGTTGTTGCAATCCCTACTTTTTGCTGCACTGCTTCTCCAAATATAACAAACAACATTGCATTTTTTTTTTACCAAGAGTGCATCATCTAATCTTTGATGCAGCACATGTCTCCTGCCAGCCCTTTTTGTCAGTATGTGCAAGAATATGAGATTTCCTACTGCTACCACTGCTGAAGTGTCACTATGTCCTAGTTTCTTAAGTACTGGGCTGAGCATTGTTCACATGAGGCATCCCAAGCTAACAGGCATGGTATCTGACATTAAATGCTGCTATGTTTGAATACAACTAAATGATTGAATCAGCAGTACAGACATTCCTAACCTTTTGGTTTGTAAGTGCGGGAGATGCAGTATACAGACCTGTAGCAGCAAGAGTGGTAATGATCAAAACCGCCTGTTAGAATTACCAGCCAATGTGCTTAACCAATGAACTCTATTTGGCAAGGACCTGAATGTTCCAACTCACAAAATAAAGAGGGGTATTGGGCAGTAAGATACCCTTTCACAGCAAGGGTGTGTGTTTTCTATTTAGTCAGATTTCCCCCCTATTGTGATTTTAAGTAATGTCACAGGAAATTAAGGGAGGTCACATGTGGCTCACTACTGAGTGGTTACGCATGCATCTACCTTACAGTAAGCATCAAATTGCAAAAAGAGGAACCTCCATTGCCACAGACAAAATCTAATTTTCTTCAAGCAGGTTACAAACATTTGTTTATCAGTCTTTTGCTGTCAATAAAAAAACAGCGAGACCCTAACACGTCCTCATTAGACAAAGATGTCCTCATTATCAAACGAGCTCTCACAAAGATAGAAATACAGATTCACACAAAAAATCCTCAATTTGAATAAAGAAATGTAACGTATTAAATGAGCTTGTTAATTAGATCAACTTTCTTTAATGAATATAACTCGGCAGTTTCGTCAACATAAATGAACTGATGGCGTCTTGAAAGATTTGACTTTTGGACTTGACAACACTCTGGAGTTATTGGAAATGTTCCGATCACACGAGTCGGAAACCATCCTACAGAGCCACCACCGGAATCTAATTCTACATACTGTATAGTACTTATACTGATCTTTATCTGACACTGTGAACAAATACCAGGTTTACACAGAATGTGGACTGCTATTTTTGACTTAGGAAAAATAAAATACATTGTTTTAAACAGCTCAGAAAAAGACTTGTATACATTATCCAGTAAGTGTGTTTTTAGAATTTTACTTGACATTTGCAAACCTAATCTTGACAATCTCAAAGCAGACAAAAATCCTGGCACACACTTTGTAATCTCTGGCGCCCCCTGAGGGGAGCCCGGACCCCAGTTTGGGAACCACTGGCTTAAATTAACCACCACAGCCAAATGACAAACCCCAGCCTTTTCTCGATCTGTAGCCTAGAGATACCTGAACCACCAAACAGCCCTTTGAGAAGTAAGGATTTCCCTTCTCACTCTCCAGGTCTCAAACTCACAAATGGCCCTCTCAAATATGGACAACCGAGAGCACAAAAACACATGTAGGCTATTCAATTTCAGACCACCCTGAGGTGATAATGTGGGTCTAGGTCCAGGAGCAGCCCGAGTAATTCGATTTTAATCACACTGAAGCAAGACGTTCACACGGGAATATTAGGATTAGAATACAACAAAAAGGGTCCTTAAAAATGAAATGGCTTTAGATGGCACAGGGCTAATGACCAATGAAGTCTTTACCATTAGACTAATGATGGGGAAGTGGAGGTAGTCTCTTTAAAAGTCTGTGAGCCTGCTGGCAGTCACACAATAAAAGCTCAGCACTAATGGCATCTCTGCTGAGTGCACTGTAAAAAAAGAAAAAAAGAAAGTGGTGTTTGGGTAATTAGAGATTTACTGTATGTCTACTTTAATGGAAATAAATGAGTGCATTTATGCTGATGGAGGAGGGTTTCATGGATACTGAGGCACAACTGGGGCTACATTGAAACCTACCAATGCCCTCTAGTGGAAGATGCAGGTATAACACAGTATTAGAGACCATTTTCTAGAATGAAGTGGCACATAAAACGTCTCTGCTTTTCATCTCTGTTTTATCATAAGCTGATATAATGGAATATGACTCACAGGGCTTATGTAATGAAGAAAATATGCCAATGTCTTTGTGTGCAAATAACTTGGGAGACTGTAAAACGCAAAATTTACAGTATGATTTTTCTTTTTTTTATTCTGTCCCTCCTGTTTTTTCATTCTCTGATTAACCCCCACACACAATTATTTTCAGTGGTGTTGAATTTGAAATGAAATACAACAAAATCGATTCTTGCACAAAGATTGCTACCAGTGAAGTGCAAATTGAGCTTTTTATTGAGGCAATTTAAGATGAAAACTAAGAGAGAGGAAGCTCCTCAACTCCCCAACACAGACTGATATTATTACCTCTCAGTTGTGGAAAATGTTCCTGTCTACAGTGGATTCTGTCGCGTTCTGATCTTACTAAATGTGGACGTCAATCCTATTTGAATTAAAATTTAATTCTTTGTTTTTTTTGCGGTGGAGTAAAAGAGACTTTCACGAGGATAGGAAAACCTGGGTCAGCTAGGCTTGAATCAAAGCCATCCACAATACACAGCAGTAATGAATTACAAACACATACTGACGTATTGAATGCAACAATGCAGGCGTTGAGTTGGTTGGAGTCACAGTGTTTATACTTTGCTGTGTGTGCCATTTGTGCAGACCGCACTTTAAAGGTGACAATGAAACTCTGAACTGTTCGGGGGAAAAAGCAGTAATAGTAACATTAGTACTGGCTCTTCAGACAGGCCTGTCAGTGCGTCAAAATGCACTGACCTAAAACAACTCTGGGAATGTTCGGTTGAATACAAGAAAGTTACTAAGCTAAAAATATTAGCGGTATCAGTGTTTGCCTACTGGGAAATGAAATGACCATGATCTCTTAACAGCACATTAACTCGGCGGTGGCACGCAACATTTTAAAACTACGCGCTGCCACCACGGAAACAATTTCACATTATGTTTAGGCAACAAAACCTCTTAGGTTTAGGAAAAACATCATGGTTGGGCTTAAAATAAGTAAGTAAACTAAGTCAAATACATAAACACGCAACAAACGTCACTAAAGTAACTTCCCAGTGGTCTGCTGGTTGAGATTTGTGTGATGTTTGACCCACCCCCCTCCTGTCTTTCTCACTGTTTAAGGTGTGAAAGCTCAGAGCTAGGGACGTGGATGTGTCTAATTCGTGTGTCCACCATGCCAGAGGACTCTAGTTGACTTTCCATTGCCATCGCTTCTGTGGTGTCGACACGTCATTTTAACACATGATGCACCACCACCCCTTAATGTGCTGTTAAGAGGTCAGGGTAGTTGCATATATTTCCAGGTCGGGTCCTTTTATATTGCCCTACAAGATTATGATGATTGCACATAAACATTTTCTGTGATAATCTTTGCATTATAAATCAATCATGTAAAGCACTTGGACAATATGTTTCAAGTAGAGTGAGTTTTTTTAAAAGTATCCTTTGAACAGGATTCACACTTGAGTGAGAAAAAATGTCTCCCTGCAGCCCCCCAACGCCGTCACTATCCAGAAGAAGGACACATCAAGTTCCTTTTTTTTATTATTATTTCAAGATATAGTATTTCAAGGAAATCTAAAAGCCCTCCTGGACACTGCAACAGATGTGTTTTCCACTCATGCTCCTGTGATTTCAGGTCACTCAAAAGCCACTGCAGAGTTTGCCAGGCCTGGCCAATGTGTCAACACTATGGCTTCCCCTCGCCGCCACAGAGGAGAACACAGCAGCACAGTGGAGTGCTGTTTCCTCTGATACGAGCAAATGCTCAACTATGTTCACCAGCTAGTTGTTATCTGTCCGTCAGCCGTGTTGGTGCTGTGCAGGTTGTGTACATTGAGTTTATCAGAGGTTTTAACCTTTGAATTTGAATCTCAATCCCTGCCAGCATCCCAAAATGATTATCAGGTCTCAGCCCAAATAATTTGCACCTAACATGCTTCTGGCATTATAGGGAACTCAATAACTCCATTGTTAAGCTCTTCTTCTTACGGAAAAACTTGAGTCACTTTTACTCTCACTCACTCACACACTGCATGCACCACATACTCTATAAACTGCGGATCACAGCTTCAAAACTGCCATCCCTGCCAACTTAAACCCCCTGTGTACTAATGAGTAGTCTTTGTGTTACTTTCATCCCATTTAATGTCAGTGTCCCACAGTGAAACTGAGTTTGAGACATATCAGCATGCATTGAACTCTAATAGTGTCTTTTTTTTTTGCTGCTACAAACGCTAGGGGTCGCCAAAGGTGAACATTTACAAATCTTACACACAGGCGCTTTGAGAAGCTGAAGATATGTGGTATAGCCAACATCTATCATGTTGCATGCCTGGGCCTGTAAGCAAAGCAGAGACGGCCATATATGGCTGACATCGTGACGGTCTAAACATAAGAAGATGGGGAGTTATGATCTGTTAGCATGTTTTTGTGTTTTTCTCCTCTTGTGTGCGCCTCTGGTATATGCTGAGGCTTCAATTAATCTACATGTGTAATCCAGTAACCCCCATGAAGTAGCAGGGCTAATGGAGAGCAGAGTAGGGAGCAGTTTATGTTATGCAGAAAGCAGAACATGCTGCCCCTTATGCTGTATATAACAGAATATCCTGCTCAGTGGTATTATTTATCGTTAACAGCGTCAGTGTGCATTTGCAGAGCACGATAGATGCAGCAATGTGCCTGTAGGCATTCTGAAGTGCGATTGCATCTGGACCTCACACACTCATTTACAGCAAAGACCACACACGCACACATAAACATGCACATGCATAAACACACTCACAAGCTCAGAATGCAGCACGACACAAAAATTCCATCAGCACCGGTGACTATCAGTGTAAATAATTGCATGTATCACCAGCTACACCAAGCGGACCTCCTAGGATAGGACATGGTCCCCCCACAAAAATAAAGGTCCTTGTGCACACAAAGGGTTGCTGTGATTGGTACATTTTCACACTGGTTGAAGTACTTTAAATACAGACTTTTAATAGGCGTTCCCTCGAAGACACTGAGCAAAAGACAAGAACATCGAAATGCTTGGCTTCACACTCAAATTTCAAAATGCATTTTCAACTCAACAGGTTTGACTGAAATAGCGTTAAAAACTGAAATGTGAGCAGACTGACAAAGCATTTCGCAGCTACAGAGACAGATAATTCTCTCAGGAGGTAGTGGAGATCAAACCAGAGCCAAGAGAAGAGTGAATATGATGCAGCTCTGAATGTGTAAAATTGTTTGCTAACAAGTTCAACTAACCAACCTATCTTATTTCATCCATTTTCGTTTTACACAATATGAAAATTAACTTAAAAAAATTATCTGTTTGTTTGTTTTTCTTCAGATGACATTAAATACATAACTATGCATAATTATGTTTTGAGAAGAAAAAAGTCTGCCTATATTTATTTCTTACAGTAGTTTATACTTTGGATCCCAGTGAGTGGGTATTCCCTGTTTTTATTTAGTTATGTTGGTAGGATGAGGATTAAAGGCACTGCTCACTGTTAATATTGGAGCTAGTGTGACGTGTCTAGTGCATTAACTGTTTTGACAATACCTTCAATGGGGGGCTGTTATATTTACCATGATAAATATTTTCCTACACCGAAAAAGTTGCATGTGACACTACTGGAGATCCTGCCACAGTGGCAAAGCTGCGTTTGTTTTGGCAAATAACTGTGTAGCAGACATGTCCTCATTAAAGATGTCAAATATGATTTCTCCCATTTGTAGATGCTGCTTATTATCTCCCTATTGTGTCATTAATTATAAGATGATGATGTGCATCTCATTAGACACTGTAATGTGCTCTGGGCTTAAATGTTCATGTAATCAAACTGGCTCAACTGTAGCAGCTCCTTGAACACTTGATTACAGACTGAAACCTTGTACATATCAATTATACTGTCAACAACAGTTGTTGATGCCAATTAGCACAAAGCAACTCTGTTTTCTTTTCTATGCACGACATCTCCTTGCAAATCGTTGACAAACTTGAAGCTACAGGTAAAATAAGTGAAGTCACGAGGGTCGTGAGTCATTTCTTCCCTGTAATGCAGCTGCTGAGTTTGAGACAACTCTACACTGCCGCTCACTGGCATCATGGGAGAAAATATCACTCGCACATACAGAGTGTGTGACTTAGCGCATATGAATCAATCGCGAGGGCGGTGTGGACCCGCATGCTGGAAAGATGCAACGTGACATGTGTGTCACAGATGAGAGGAGGATCAATGATAGTTAAAATGGGGCAGGAAGGGCGGGCAGTTCCACACAGCTGGTGTGTATTAGGACGTCTGACACCTAGCAGATGTGTGTTCAAGTGTCGCGGCCAAACTAATTCAGGAGAGAAGCACACGGAGATAGCTTGAAGCAAAGACTGAATTCCCCTTTTAGCTCATAGAAGGGGGTGGGGGGGGTGGGGGGGGTCCTGTGATCTTCACTAACCAACACCTCAAAATGACCACAAAAAAAAGTCAAACATGACAAAAACGTAATGCCATCGTCACCCACAGAGCTTGTTCCCTTGGAGCGATAGTTCTAAGTTGAGACTGGACCTTTCTGAAAAATGCTCCAACCTTCCAGACATCTGTGCTGCATCATGGTAAGAAGACCAAAAGCTGGAGGGAGTGCAGTAGTCATAAACCACTCTAATGCTGATTTCTACTGTATATCCAAAGATCCTTTGTTGAGAATCCTCCTGATGCAGCTCTGCCAACAACAGTTTCAACACTAGCTTCCAATGGGAGCTGTTCATTGTCGTAAGGCTGCCAGTAAATTACGTGTAAAATATTTCAAACACATGAAGTGAGATCTGAAACGCACACCAAAAGTTTCATATCGCTTTTGAACGATGACTCTCCGTAGCAACGGGGTTAAAGTGCAAACATAAAACGACATGAAAATGGTAGCTCATGAGAATTATTTCCAATCTAATTTGATTATGTTGAGACTTGGAAGGATAGAATAACTTAATTTGCACATCAAATCCCATGCGCACAAAATGAAACATTGCAATGAAGACATTCCTCAATCCCTACTTGGACAGTGTTGAGGGAGAAGTGGGAGATTGATGACTCACACCTGGTTCAGTAAACTGCAGCCCACTGCCACCACCCACCATCCAACACCCACCCACCCCACCTCTTTTGTCCAATGGAAGAAAAAAGCCCTCTTGGGTCTCTTGGTTCTTCTGGCCAGTAGTGTGGAAAACGCTCTCTTCACACTTTTCCACTCCTGCGCTCGTTTCAGAGAGGGTGTGGTTTGGGGCTACTGCTGCAGTGGAAACATCCAACTGCTCCTCTTTAGATCGTGCATGTGGGTGTGGAGATGCAACTGTAGAATTACCATTTAGATTTAACTTAATGACTAACAGATCAATCCGGAATACTAACAAAGTGCACAAAAATGAGCTATTGACAGGTGATCAATGACACTTTTTTATCTCTTGACTTAACATACAGCATATAGCAGGTTTTGATAGCGGACTTAGATAATCTGTTGCATTATGTGATGCATTAATTACACAAAATAGGCATTCTACCACAGAAAGAATATCACAGATTGATATTGAAATGACTCATTGCAACGTGACTCCTAACAGGTTCACAAGACTAACACTGATCTGGGATCACAGCATTGGACTTAAGATATAGCATGCCAACATTCTTTTTTTATATCACCACAATTATTCGACACCTGTGCAGTAAATCAAACTTTGCACAATGCAGGAATGTCAAATGGAATTTTAAGGTTTTCGAAGACAAAAAGAAGGCTTACACGCCCCTCCACACTCACACACGCATCGTACACAACATTGCTGAGGTCCTCTCTTCCACCCTAACTGTGGCTCACCTCTTGCCCTTCAAGCACTCTCACCACTTAAGTACAGGTTTCAGCCATGCTGATATTTATGACCTGTGAGCCAAAAACTCTGTGCAACCCTGTGATTATGACACCCATCATACACTTACAAGTTGTGACTTTAAACTGTGCTTCGGCCAATCCACTATTTATAATCAACATACAGTGCAATCAAGGTCAATCCTTACAGAACTCAAAAAGGAAGCATGCGTGTGTAAAAAGCAGAAACCTTTTTTTCTGCAAGATCAATCACCTTAAGAACAAAGCAGATTTAAAACTTACCCTGAGCTGAAGTAGCCGTACTCCACTCTATTTGTTTTCGAAGAAAAAAATCGGTATATTATCAGTTATGTAAAATGCCTGCAAGCGTGACTTTTGGGCATTATCCTCCTGACAAATTCCCCCTGCTGGCTTTTTTCAGCTCCTCCCAAAGGAAGGCGGCTGAGCAAAGCTGTGATAAGGTCACTGATAGGAGATGTGCAGAAACAGGGGTCCTGAGTGAAGGAAGGAAATGGTTGAGACTGAAAGAGACGGACACCCTCCCGGTCTTGAACCAGAGGAGATATGGTGCACAATTCAAGGCTGGGATGGGACAAACTTCTAAACTTCTGGAGACCTGCCACCTCTCTCTTCCTCCTCCCACTTTCTTTAAAGAGAGGGGAAAAGAAAAGAGGAGGGAGAAGAGAGTGGGGGGGGGGGGGGTGAAGTAAATGAAAACCAGACACATAGCCCTGTTTGGTCTGGATGTGAAGAGAGGATGATGTCACAAATCTGGAGAGGGATTTTCTCCTTACCTTTTCCTACATTTCTCCCTCCACCTCTTTGGGGCCCTTTCTTACATTTAAGCTATTTAGAAATTGTTGTTACATTAAAATGACTTGTCCTGCAACAATAAAATTAGCCTATCACATTGCTTATGAGTTGATTTTTTTTATTACAAACATCCTCACACAGACACACACACATTGCGAACTACATGGACCTTGTTAGGTGTAGCTAAAGCAAAAACACATTACTAGTTCATGAGAAATTGTAGCTGTGTCCCAACTGCATAATTTACACTAACCTTGTTTTTACAATATTCATTGTGATGCATTGATTCAGCATCCCACATGTATGTAAGTAGGCTGTGTAAGCTCAATACAATGTTACAAAAATGTATAAGTCATTTGTGCTGCATTTATGTGGTGTAGGAATAATCGGAAAAATGAGTTCCCGATCATATTTCATGGCTCACCTGATCAGTTTCCTTTGCTCTTCATTATCACACAGATACTGGAAACAGCTATCAACATGTTGTTTAAATGCTCAGAGCAAAATAATACAGCACGTGTTCTATGGAGTGTCCTTGTTGTTTCCACATTACGACTTAAAAGCTTATGAACACACCGAAGTCAGAAGAACGACCTCCCAACTCTGCACCATTAACCTGCCGTGCCATCTGTCTTGACTTGAGTCCGATTCGATTGGTCCTTGCTCAGTGTGCGTGAGCAATACCCTATGATAACAGCAAGTGGGCGAGAGGGAAGGTCAGGGACTCTTCATGAGCACTCGGTTCGTTCGACCTGCTACATTGCGGACACTAAAAAGAGTCCTTCAAAAAGATTTGTTTGAGCATTTAGCAGCTAAGGAGACATTTATTTCTCGTTGGCGGAGACCAAACCAGATTTAAAACTGAACACACATTACATATGGATAATATGAAAGCTCATTTTGCTCCACCTCTGCCGGATGTTTAAATAGGGAACTGTTTGCTAACACATTTACCATAACAGCTTTAGAAGAGGATGATATGACCTGTTCAAAATACTGTGTAATGTGAGTGGTTGCCTGTAGTGATGAACCCAAAGAGAATTATCATCCAACTTCTGGACAATGTCTTTTAGCCTCTTTGAGCCCATTGTTTTCTTTTCCTGGCCTGCAGCTTTGTTCTCATCAACCTTGTGTCCAGACACCAAACGGCAGACAGATAAAGTTAGCAACTAAGCTGGTGAACCTAGTGGAGCATTTAGCAGCTAAAGAAACAGACATTTCAGTCCAACATCTCAGTTGCCAATTATAGCAAAAGACGAATAAATATTTTACTTCAGTTTTTCAGGTGTACTGTAACACAACCCAAAATGAATGCTAATGGTGCGCTGTGTCTGCTGCTAAGATGTTTGCTAACTTTATAAATTGATAATGTGTAGATGTTGTGTTCTGAGCATGTTCTGCTGCATGGTCAAAAAGAAACTCGGGTGAATTCCCCTTTAAACATTTCAGCTCATTATTTTGTAAATTCTTCATTTTCAAAATTGGCAGTGTTCCATTGTCACAACTTGACTGCTGTATTCATGTGCCTATCTTGTGCATATAATATCCTCCACTATCATAACACGTACAGTACATTAATGTATACTTCACAGCATTAGTACAGAATGTACAAATGGTATGTAATACTTTATAATTATAAACAGTGGGCTACACAATATACTAGATGTCAACAGGAAAGAACCCTCAGCAGCACTTTGCTGTGGGAGTCCAGACCAACTAAAGGGAGGACTGCTGCAGCATTTCTTTGTCAGTTAGCTCAAACAGACTTTGTTCCCAGAGGTCAACATGCTGTGAAATGAATTCCCCTCACATCTGTGTGAATAAAAGTTGATCTCTAACAGCAGTTGATTATCAGGCAAGGTAACTTCTCTTCAGCCACAGAACCATCTCTGCATTAATAGAATATTTCTTAAAAGCACTGTATGGAAGTGTAAGTCATCACTCACACCACCAATATTTCCTTCAAAGCATTGCACTGTTGTGGCGGAGCTATGGCAACCACTGCTGTAATATTCATTGAGTTACAAGCTGCTAAATGTTCTGAGATAAGCAGCTAGATTGTCCCATTTGAATAATTGGCTCTTTAACGATAATTGCTGACTAAATTTGTCCCTTTGTATCAACACTGAGGCTCAGTTCTTATATAACGTATTAATCTGCGTAGCTAGTAAAGATGAAAGCAAGAAGCGGGCAGATCAACTGTATCTAAGTACTTCATTGAGGAAACATGTCTTGCATGTATTGCCATGAGAGTGAGTACTACTCTGAAAATGATTGAAAACGATGTCAATGTTCACGCTCCCAGCTTTTAACAATCGCCTGAGATGTCAAGTCAAGGTGGAGCTGAGATCTGGGGCAAAGGGTTTCTTTGATGCATGCCACTGAGGTGACTTTGTGTGTGTGGATGAAAGTGCTAATTGTTTCCAGTGATGCTTTTATAAGCTGCCCTAACTCTTGTTTCAATCATTAAAAACTGCCAGCTTCCATAACACAGGTATCCATCAAAGGAGAGGTGAGAATCACTCAACTTTGATTTTTCATTTAAAGATTAACTAACTCGAGCATTTGGACATTTTTTTTCAGCATTTTGGGTGCGGCTGTAATGTTACCGGATTCCTACAGTATGTGGAAGTAATGAAAAGCATAGAGAATGTGTCCTTAAGCCCTATAAAACCGTGAAAACACACTCTTGTTTATTCTGTTCTCAAATAAAAGCATGAGACTCCCCTCCACATAACTGGAGTATTCAATCCGGTCTCTGGAAGTTGCTTTTTTTTGCCTGGGAAGACGTTACCATTCGGAACAAATTGTTCACTGGCCAGTTTGAGGGAAATAAGTGTGTTGATTCCACCAACACACTTATTTCCATCGCAACATAAGCAAATAAATGGGTGGAGATGGAATGGTCTTGCGTCACTCCGACTGTGTCTGATGAGGAAAGTATTAATACACACAGTACCGGTGGATGCTCAAAAGAAGGAGGTACAAACACGGGAGGAAAACACTGAGCAGTTTTACCTTTTTAATGCTGCCTCCCTTCAGCCATAACCAAACACAAGCATACATGTGTATGATGACGATAGAAAGGTACTGTGCATATAAGGTGATCAGTGTAGGATCATTACACCAGCAACTCTATTTTCTACTTTGCTCCTCTGCTTTAAAGTCATTGATTTCTTTATTATAAGTAGTTAGTTCCAGTTCTAGCTCTTCCTAGATTCCTTCATGAACAGTTCAGGGTATCAGATGGCTTTATTTGTAGTGTATCTTTTAATTTAATTGTCCTTATCATAGCGGACCAGGTTTGAATCCGACCCACAGCCCTTTGCAGCATGTCGTCCCCTCTCTCTGCCCCTACTGTCATTAAATCTGGTCTGTCCGGTTTGCTTTCACACCACAAACAAATTGCACCACAGTCTACTTGTAACTCTGAGTCCCCTTTGTATGTGGTCTTGGCCCGGTTGTTTAGTCCTACCAGAGTTCGACTTGACAGCTTTCACGCCAGCTGCACCAGAGTTCCACTGAATCGAACCAAACAGGTTAGGTGTCGAACACAAATGAATACCAGGCCAATAGACTATTATTCTAAACACTTTCTTAGATGTAGGATATAAAAAATAAAAATGAACAATTTTTGGGAGTTAAGGTAGCCAAGGAAGATGGCAAAAGAATGAATAAGCAAAGTCACAAAGTTATGACACTCTCAACAAGCAGTTTATGGAAAACAACACAGGCAAATACTTTAAATTGTAACGGTGTTATTAGTCTAGTTGTGTCCAGCAGGTACAAAGCACACTGTACTAATGATGCACACTGTAATACTTGACACACTAAATGGTAAAGGCCTCACGTTCACTGCATATCAATTCAGTTCAGAAGGAAAAGTATGATTCTTCAAATCCCCCAGTATTCTGAGATGCTCTGGACAGCATGACTGAATTAAAGTCAGCATGTGATGCAATTGTGAGTAATGTGTGCATACTGACCTACAGCAGGGACATCTTAACGGAGGAGGCCAGGTTCAATACCAGAGGTCTGCAGAGACTTTAAATCAAAGCCAGCCACATGCCTTGTGAGGTGATCTGCCATTTCTTTAGAGCTGGATCACTCAAGCATTTCTGTTCAGTCTCTCATAACAGTGACTAGTATGAGGGGCATCAGCCACTGCACAGCCCCAAGTCAGCTTCAATCAAACAAAAAGTCCATATTGCTTCTAATAACAGTAATCATACTGGTCTGACCAGTAACATGGATGGCTGGAACACAAACCCAGAGTCATATCTTCTCTGTGGTTTAATGTTGAGTATAATGTTGAGTGGCACATGTGCTGTACTTTCCACATTCTGAATGACTTTGATTCAGAACCACCCGATGACTCGTGAAAATATGAAACAAGCATTTATTTTGTTTTATTCAAGGATTTATGGAATCTTCTAAACTGTAGAGATGCTACTAGCACTGCATTAGTACATACAGTAAGCAACAATGAAGACAATGTAAGTGTACAAAGATGAATGTGAGTTCCAGTGTTTTAGATGTTACTTAATAGTAGAATTTGCACTGTAAGCAAACAAAGAGGATTGGACTTTAAGTTCTCTTTTGTTCTTTCTTCCAACAGGTGGCCATATCCAAAATCCAAGCTACTGTTCATTTCCTGAAGCGGGATGCAGCAATCACATCTGGACATGGAAGCCGAGGAATCAGTCTGAATGTGGAACTTATCTAAAGGCTTCTGTTGAGCTCTGATTTGAATAA